AGATAATTGTTATAAAAAAAAATACAATCTATTTTTTGTTTAGTTAATTTCATTTTGATTCCCTTAAATTCATTATTCAAACAAAACATAAATGTCATATAAAAGAATGTCATATAAAAGAATGCCATGGTTAATATGTAATTATTTCAAATATATGTCAAATATATATATAACGTAAAATAGTTGAACTTGGGCCAAAAAAAAATTGGTTCAAATTTTGTCATACTTAGCTTTTGCCAAACTAATGGCAAGTTTGGAAAATTATTATAATAATCAAAAAGTTAAAAAATTATACAAAAAAATCAAATATTTTATTTTCTCTATTTTTTGTATGTTTTTTCCATAAAATGTCAAAAAAGTTCTCAAACTTACAAATTTTTTAAACCTCATATTTTAATCAAAAAGTCAAAAAATTACTAAAATAGAATATTCCCCAAACCAATCTTACTCCACACACTCTCTGTAGCCTAACCATTCCTTGATATTTTATATATTACAAAAATCACCTTTAACTTTTAAAAATAACCATTTGATGATTTTTTTTTTTGTTAAAAAAAAAAAAAAAAACTACATTAGTTTGGTTAATAGGGCATAGATTAGAGAATATAGGCAAGAGTTCTAGTAAATTGTTGTGTTGGGTTGAAAGTCGCAAAGGTGGCTACAGAAAGGTACTAGAAAAAAAGGGTGGATGAAGCGGTGAAAAGGGAATGAAATAATTTGTAGATAGTGGAGTGACTTAAAAAAAATAGGTCAGTACTGCTTCTTCTAGAGGATAAGATACATTTGATTAGGAGTGACTTAAGAAAATGGGTCAGTACTACTTCCTCTCAATTTTCTTTCATTTGATTATCTAATTTGAGTTTTGTAGGGGATGGTTCGATGTAAGTACTGATTAGAGAGGGAAAACTATGCTAATGGTCCAACAATAGTGGAATGACTGGAGGGTGAGTAGTTAGGTGAGGGTGAAGCAAGTAGCTCGAGAAGAAATGGATAGTAGTGCACAAATGGATAGCATCTCCTCCAAATCCTAAAAATTCCTCCCCTTGGACCTTGGTAAATGGGTCCTATTTATAGGCTTTTCCTTGGTACCAAGAGGACACCAAGTGGCCAAATAGAGGGAGGACATGTGTCCCTAAGGATCACATGGAATATTCTGCTTTGAGCCACCATGTTGAAGGTGCCACGTATCCCTTAGCTTGTACTGTGTACTATCTATTTACCTTCACAACTACCCTTTTGAGCCTCAACAAGTGTAGTTACGACGGGAGTGTTTGGCGTTGCAACTCCATTTTAACCCTCAGCAAGTGCAGTTGTAGCGGGAATGTTTGTCGTTGCACTTGCCTTCTCAACTTGAACCTCAGCAAGTGCACTTGCAACTGTAAACCTTGCTGCTACACTTGCCTTCTTAGTTCTATTTAGCCAGTACATACATTCTCAGGACTCCATTAGCCTGCTATCGGCTATGTTCGTGTTCACCTCAGCAAAGCCTCCACCCTTAGCCACCTAACTACAAACTCCCCAACTTCCCAGTGCAAAAGCCACAACCAAGCTTGCTATCAGCCATGTTGTGCCTCAGTACCAAGCCCAAGGGGGTTTCCTTAGTCCCGCCTGTGCGACTATGGTAGGTCTATGACCTGGGTAATGGAAAGGGAGTCCCCTACACTCGGGCTACCCTGCTCCCATCATCGCGGGATCACCGAGGTAAACTAGTATCTCTGGGCCTGTTATCAGCTCCAACTAGTAAGCCTTGGGGCCTTCTATTAGTGCCAAGCATTAGCCTTTACTTGTAGAACGGAAGCTTCTCCCAAAAGCTGTTATCACCTTGGCGGGATGTTCCCTCCACAAGTTAGTTGCGGCGGCTGTAGTTGCTGCGGCAGTCATTTCCCGCAGTAAGTTCAGATGGCAGTCCCAACAGAGTTTGGTTGACTTTTTCCAGGATAACTTTTGAAACATGTTTGCAAATGCTTTTTCAAAAAAATTATCAAAAATGCAAACACCTCGAATTAAAAAATAAAATCTTCAAAAATGCAAAAAAAAAATGAAATAAAATAAATTCCAATTTTATACATAATTGAATATTTTCGTTTTTATACATACTTGGATTTTTTCATTTTTAATACATCATTTTTATATTTTATATGTAATCAACATATTTTGCCATTTCTATATGTAATTGTTTTTTTCCGTTATTGTACATAGTTGTCATATTCTTATTTGTTATAAGCATATTTTATATGTAATTAACATGAAAAATACAATATTGGCCCATATAATAAGTACCACATGGTCTTAAAAAAAAAAAAAAAGCATTTTTTACAAGATAACTACTACCCATACCATAATAAAAATTGAAGTACAACCATTGTTCACAGCCACGGTTACTGACATCTTACTTAAGTGCAAATAGAATGAAAAGTTCCAACAAAAGGATCATAATAGTAAAACAAAGAAATGCGTTGCATCCACAACAAGACCAAAACAACCACTTCTCGCCAGTACGAGGCACTTGAGTAGGTCTGAGATTCTATACCCGACCATTATAGTCGTCTACCCACAAGAAGGAGCCCCTATGATTATGCCAATTAGGACAACGGAAAAGGTAACGACCAATGATTGGATGCGAGCCATAATCACCAACATTGGACTAGCGCCACATGAACAATTTGGTGTCACCTTCATCTGCATATTAGTCAAATAAGCAATCCCATTTTCAAATTATCTAAAATAAAACAAATTTTCATATGAAGTATAAATACATGAAAAGTATTTAGTGTACAACCATAATTGTTTAACCTATTTTGTTTATGTTGTCCATTTTTATTAATTAGCAAAAAGCATTTACCCAGTTGTAATCTACCTATTATTGTATGCTTCCCACGTAGATGCTGCAAGCTCATCTCGCCATTGTCCCATCTGCAGGAGTTGTTCACGTGACATATTGACATGGTTGTGTTGTTGCATAGTTGGTACTCCATCTTCATTTCCATTTACATTTTCAACTCCACCTTCACCCTCAACTTCACCATCACCTTGACCTTGACCTTCACCTTCACCTTCGTCTTCGTCTTCATCTTCATCTTCTTTATTTGATTCTTCTGCATCAAAAAATTCATCCTGTTCTTGAATCCTACGAATCCAGTTGTAGGGAACACAACATGCCATAACAATTAGCCCTTGGTGTACCATATCATACCATGGCTTATGTTTCAATTAATGGAAACCGTTGCTTCAAGACTCCAAAGGTTCTTTCAATTACATTCCTTAAAGAAGAATGTCTATGGTTGAACAACTCCTTTGGACCATGATAGCAACACCGCTTATTGAACTACTGCAAATGATACTTTTGCGCAGGATATGGGGCTACATAGCCGGGCATATTTGTATATCCGGCGTCCACGAGATAATACTTATCTACAGTAAAGCACTTTCAATAAGAACAAATCATGGCATATTTGGTGTTCGCACGAAAAAAAAAAAAAAAAAAAAACACTCACTAGGTGTCGGGTGTGGAAAGTCAGTGCTAGTTATGGTAAGTGCTAAAAAAATTCTCGAATCATGCGCACTACCTTCTTCCCAACCAGTGTATACAAATGTAAACATCATGTCAAATGAACATGAAGCCATAACATTTTGAGTAGTATTTACTTTTCTACCTCAATATGGCTTTTCGTCAGCTTCTCATGCCACAACAGCAATATGTGTGCCATCTATGGCCCCTACACAGTCCTACATCATTAAAATTTGTATGCTTTTAAGAAAAAAAAATATATAACAAAGTTCGGATCATTTAATGTGATCATGCATATAATGTATTGTACTTATTTGAACGGCTATATTAGTGGATAAACATATTGTTACCTTAAACCATGGCCAATAATGTCTGTCATATCAAATTTGAGGAGGGGTTATAGCCATGTTTTGTGGTTAGATTATAAATGGCGCAAGATTTCCCAAAGCCCGCATCATAAGTATGAAATGTCAATGAACAGTCTCATTTGAGTGCTAAAATCGATCTCCAACATTTCTTGTGCGTGAACTTTGACCACAAATAAATAAGAACATAGCTAATGACTCTTCCATTGACGATCACATGTTTGACCAATCTACTACATTTCTCACACAATCTCTTTTACCAATTCCATAAATGTCATCACTTCCATACGCAATTGATTATGGATTGATTTTGGATTTCCACTCAGTAAGAATTGTATGTATTGATCACCGGTGTACGGACAATTACGTTGCGGTAGTTTCATATGAATGTCACTTGTTAGTTCACAAACCATGTGGTAGTCCATCAGATCGTCCTCATCGTCACTATATGGGTCGTACTGATTGTTCACTTCCCCTCCATTTCGTCGTGACGACGACATCTAAATCGCAAAGTGTAAAATGATCAAGGAATTAAGTTTAGTAATATAAAATGTAGGTAGTAGGTTAATAAGTACACTACTCGTAACAAACACATGTAAAAGATCATGGTCCGAATAGTAGGAAATAAGAAACATTGGCATGCGCAATTCATGATACTATTGCAACAACAAAGAAAATAAAAAGAGAAAAAAAACAACGCCCATCATAGTCCAAACCGAAAGCAAGTTAAAAAAAAAGAAAAAAAAAAGCAAACAAATTCTGAAAGCACCCAACCTTGTTAATTTGTATGTCCACTTTCACCTTCACCCGAACTGTAGGATCACCAAGCTTGTCACAAACTGAGGATCCAAAGGTACCTCATTTTGGGTTCCATGGTCACAAACATGGTTCTCCATTCTAACGATGTGAACATGTTATGGCCTTCAAGTACAAGCTCGGATCCAAGGCCATTGATTTGAGTATCTCCATGCAAGCTAAAACTTAGTACGCATCAGTTGCCCCAGCATTTGCCTAAGCTCGAAGGTAAAAACTTTCATGTGCGTCACATGAACGTTTCCATGACTTAAGTGTATCATCCATTCTAGCGTTCTTGCTTGACTGACCATGGCCACTAAACTTACGCTTACCTCTAGAAGTGCAAGATTCATCTACTACGTCTTTCCTTGAGGTATATGCATAAAAGCGTTCATCCATTTCTCGCTCGTCATCAGATGTAAGTGCACCCTGACAAGAAGAATGGGCAAATGCTCCAGTGGAAAATGACTTGGCAAAGATTTCTGACATTAGCTCATAATGTTAAAGGCTTTTATTTTGGAATTGTTTCGCATTTGGGTGTGCTTGCAAGTTGTAAACATAAAATAATAATTAGACCAAAAATTCTCTATACACATGGTTGTGGTCAATGTATGCAGCAAAACAATTACCTAAATATAATTTTCCCAAACATCATCTGGGGCAGTCATTGTTTGTGTTATTGGATCCCAACCTAATCCCGTATGGTTTTTTAGAGAAACAAACTCTTTGTAGTTTTCCTTCAAAAGCGCGTACTTACCCTTTAATTTTCTTTGGCCAAATTTTTTTCCAAGCTTCTTAGTCATCTCTTCATCAATTGTTTACCACTGCTTTGGGTAAAACTTCTATCTTTCTTTGACATCAGGGACCCTCTTTCTTTATTTCATTCAACAAGATTTCTTAAAATATCTTAACATTTTCGAACCCCCACATCGTAAATTCACCAACGTCGTTAGCTATACTAGCCTAATACAAGTGCAACAGATGTACATTTAATGTTATTTACCTTTAAGTTGTTCAATTCAGTAATATACAAATACCAGTTGCAACACAGTTAGAATAATAAGAAAGTAAACGCATATCAATGTTGCAAGTGCAATTAGTTCCACATAGCACTGTGTTTGGCAGTAAGTGAAATGAAGCATATGAATAAGAAAATAGCATGAATCAGTTGCAGTCCAATGTTCGTGAACATGAAATGAAAACTTAACATGACAACCTTTATTACCAAAATCCACAACTGATAAGCATCACTGTATGGGCCATCAGCAATATTTAATATGAGCTTTGGCATGCAAAAGTTTACCAGATAAGGACAATCGTTTTCAGCAGTGGAGAAATTGACTGATGGGTGAGGAGATCTCTTCCTTTTATTTTTTGGTGTATTGAACAATGACCGAGGTGTACAGAGTTGGCCTGAAACATTGCAGAGAAATAGTTTAAACAGGAAACAAAACCAAATAAACCAAATTTGGCTCCCAGAATTTCATTCCGAAACCATTTCTTATGTTTGAGCTCAATTGATCACAAGTGACAAGGCTTAGGCTCTACAGCAGAATAAAACCCTCTAAGCCAAAATCTAAAAAAAAAACTTACACATACTACATTCCAAATGCAACACTACCCTTTACATTTATATTTGACCAAATTTTCTGTGATTAGGCATCCAACATTATTCAATCGGATGATCGATATGAAATATATTACCAAAAGGCCACTCAGTAAAGGAGCTGAAAACATATTTAAATGTTGACAAAGAATGATTTGGAGAAAGGAAAGAATGTTGAAGCAAATTTGTTTAATTGCTTGCTTCCAAATTTGTTTACTTCGTTTCTCCCATAATTGTTTACTTGCTTCCAAAACTGTTTAAGAACTATAACAACAACCATTTAATCAAACAAGTATCCAACAATCTTGCATTATATACTTCAAATAATACTCAGTTCAGAAACAAATAATTGAAAAAAAAAATTTGGACCACTTCACTTACCACGACTACTGCAATTTCAGATGAAATTTTTTGCACCAAGAAAATGAACATAATAGATAAAAAGATGATGGGAAAACATTCCAACAAAGTTCAGATTCAAAAACAAGAAATGAACAAAATAGAAAAAAAGATGATGGACAAACATTCCAACAAAGTTCAGACTCAAAAACAAGGGAAACAGTGCAATACAAATTTCTAAAAAAATTACCGATTGGGAAATTTCACCAAAATCTGACAAACCCAAAGCCAGTGAACAAAAGCTGAGCCTTGGGAACTTTGTAAACAAAAATCAGAGAATATATTTATCAAAAATAAAAAAAAAACAAAAACAAAAACAAAAACAAAAATCAGTGAACACAAGTTGTACCTCTTGCTTGCTTGGTTTTGGTGGCCCGCAAATCCCACCGTCCACACCGAAGACATTCGCACGGTCTCTCCTTTTTTATTTTTCTGCGAAGGATGCCGTTGTGCTTTGTCTTGGTCGGGTTTCAAGTTGGGAACTTTGCATTTTATAGAGGCCACAACAAACAGATGATGGACATTGATGTTACAAGTCAAGATTGTGTGAAGATTTTAGTAACTTGGTTTCACTGTGGCAGAAGCTAGGGCAAGATTTGCGGAAATCTGTGATGGAGACAAGTTGTGGTTGATAAGAGAGGACCCCTACGAGTAGATGGCCCCTATTGCCTCAAGCCAGTGCCATACAGAGATAAAGGAGGTGAGAGACAGAGTCGGTGCATCTACAGAGTAGATTTCTCAAATCTTCAACAGAGTACTAATGGATGTGACAGAAGTGGGTCTCTTCGAAGGCACTTGGACGAGTACAGATCTTGGCCTACGGGTGTGAATCGTCTTCCTTCAAACAAAGGTGAGAGAGCCATTGGACTGGTGATGAACAATTTTGTATCAGAGAGATGGAGGTCAGAAAGGTTCTTTTGAGAGAGAAAAGTGAATGACTGTGAGAGGAAAACGATTCTCTTGGGAACCATCTTAAGCATAGACTGTGAGAGGAGTCTTCAGAGAATATTTCAGAAAATAAGTGCCAAACACGTTTTTGTACTTTTTTTTCTCTCAAAAATTGATTTTGAAACACAAACCAAACAAGGCCGTAGAGTTTGGATTTATTCGGGGGACCTTTTCATCTTTGCTTTCATTTATTTATAACCTTCTCTTGGCCTGTGAAGTAGTTAAGCTGCTTTTCCTTACCATAATCTCCTTTTTTTGTAGCTATTTCTTAGGGTCACTTATGCTCTTTATTCGTGCAAAACCACTAATAACTGTCGTCTTGATAACTTCTTTCCCTTGTGCTCTTCACATGTTGAATAACTACCTTTCAGCTGCCCAAACTAACATCTACTACTCACGTGAGTTGCTCTGAAGGTGGGTTTCGTTATTGACTTGGGCATCTACATAATTACCCTTGCTTGCCAAGTGTCACCTTCTAACATGATGATTTAATTATGGCGCTAACATTACCCTCCTCACTAGTGTAAGCAATATGGGTTACACTAGTGGTTCTAACTTTTGGTGCTTCTTTTTCTCCACGGCCTCCACTTCCTTAAGTTTAGCTGCCATTATCAATGTTCTCTCCCACCATGATCTTTTGGCTTGCACTTCTGAATTTTTGTATTTAAGAGCAAATAATCGTAAAGACTTGGAATAATCAAGCTTCAACTATCGATCTTTGCCTAAAACATTTGTCTTTAGAGGCATCAAACTATTGCTGGTTTTGGTCAAATGCCTGATAAGATTCAGGATGATGTAGGATTTTGCAGTGATAATGCAACTATTCCTTCCAACTATCCAACGTCTCTAGAGTTGGGTTCACATCTCAAGGTTGTTCATTTTGGCTCTCCTTCTCTTATCCTTTAGCTAGAACATTATACTATGATAGCATTACTATCTAAACACAAACTGCCCCATTTTCCCCTCTTACTTTGTAATCCTCTTCTTTGGGATGGGATACACCCACTTCTTCTTCCTCAACTAGATTACTACTGGTTGGGACACTTTGAGAGTCATGTTCAACACCTTTCATTTGTTTTAAGATTCATCATCATCGCTTGGAACGGGTTGATCCTTGCACTATCTCTTTTACTCCCCGAAACATGGTTGTGTATCCCTAAAAACCTCGAATTATTAGTGAAGAGGAAGCAGGAGAGGACTTGCCAAAGGATACTATTGAACAACTTGCCCGAATCACACCTCTGCAAGTAGTTTTTCCTATCTCATCTCCTGTTGTTTCTCAAACCTTTACCCCAATAATTCCTCCACGTGTTATTGATACCTTCAGCCAAACTGAACCTTTCAATTCTTCTTCACTTGATTCCTTGGTTTGAAGAACAATGGAGAGCATCCTTTTATCGGAGGCTGCTCTGGTTGAGACTTCTCAATCAAAAATCTTACCAAGTTCCATACCTTCTAACAGCACTCCTGCATCTCAAGCACAGGATCAAACAACAATGGAGGAGATCATAAAACCTCAAGCTAGCACCAGTGAAGCTATGGAAATGTTAGGGTCTGAGTTAATGGCATTTGAGCAAGAGCTTCAACAAATTATGACAGCTAAACCTGTACCTTTGTTATTGTATGTTGAAACTAACCCTCTCCTATTGGCCGACTCTTTCATCAGCCATTTTATTCCTGATAATTCCCCATCCCCTCAACACTTGAGTATTAAGGTGGAACACTTCTCAAGACTTCCCTTACTAGCTTTAAAGAATCCAATCTTAAAATAAGGGTTTAATTTATGCTGCCAGTCCTTGCTTCACCATAAATTCCCTATGCATAATGTGCTCTTGAAGGACATGATCTCTTTAGACTTTTGTCCTCAATTGCAAGAGTTGGCTTTGAATTCTCAACAACAACTTACACAAGACTAAACTCTTGCCAGCACTACTCAAGCCAGAGTTATTTCACTCATATCTGAATATGCAAATGCATCAAACCAACAAAAGGCACTTCTTCTGGAGAAAAACGCCTTAAAGAAAGAGGTAGCAGAGGTCAATGTAGCATTGGCCACAACCTATGAGAAAATTATAGGCCTTTAGCACCAATCTAGGGCTCCTTAGGACTGATATGTATAAGGCACTTGAGCTACTTCCATCTTTTGATAGTAGAAAGATGATTGTACATGAATAACTCAAGCAATGCACTTTTTTTTGAACCCAACTATGGCCTCTATAAAATCTTCATCTAGTTAATGAAAATTGTACTTTTAGCAACTTTTGTCTTTGTTATGCTTGCTTTGTGCTTATCCTTTGTTAAGATTTGATTCTTTATCACATGAGGTTTCCCAAACAATTAGAAAATATAATTTCAAGAATTCGCCATTGATTTTTCTCTAAGGCATAAAACCATTAAGGTTCCTTAAATAATAAGTCTCGTTTGGAAGTACTTTATGAATCTAAAATGGTGTTTCACAATTAGGTGATCATTTACCAAATTTATGATTTTTGATGCCAAAAGATAGTATGGTTTTCCATACTAGGTCTCTTTCATT